CTTTCTCTTTTTCTTTTGTGATAACGGTGGCGGCATCCTCTGATGTTCGTTTTTTCCTAAGATTTTCACACTTTCCTCTCTCTCTCTCTCTCTCTCTCTCTCTCTTTATTTCTTTCATTCTATTTTTCTTCTTCTTCTTCTTCCTATTTTTAAAACCATCATGTCTATTTCTTTCCTTTAAAAGTTAAGATTTACAACGTTGACCGAACTATAAAAGAAGTATTTTTTGTTTTTTTTTTTGTTTTTCCATTTGGTCCATAATGAAAAGAGAAAAAAAGAATGGAAAAAAATAAAAAGAGAGGGACAGAAAAAGAGGAACCTTATCGGATATATACCAAAACGAAAGCATTTGAATTTAGGGATTTTCCTTCATATCATAACGGATTCAATATGACTTCGAGAGATTTACCACTACTACTACTACTACAATCTAAATTTTTCTACTTCTATTAAGCTATTTCCATAACTTCGAATAAAGTTCTTCGCAAAAGGATTCTTGATTTACGTACTTTTTTAACTTCTCGTTTAATTCATTCACAAGTAAACGGTTCTTATGCTAATCGTGCTTTCTTTTTCATCATGTATATATTTATATATATATATATATATATACATTTGTTTTTATCTTTTTTTTTTTTTTGAAAAAATTTCAACGTTTCCGAGCGTGCACGATATTTATGCAAATGCACAAATCTTTTTGTTTACTTCGGAAAAGAGGGTGAGGTTGAGGGGGCTGGGGTAAAGGGCAGGGATAGGAGGGGATTCATTAAGGAAAAAACGTTGGAAAAACTGTAACGTTCAACATCGATTGTCATTCTTTATGTGCATACGTAAATGTTACTCGTTCTCTATTCTCTTCTTTGAAAAATGTTAATCGCAGCCTGTTGACTTGTGAAAACTTTTTCGATTTCCTCCTACTGTAACATTTGTTTTCTTTATCTTTCGAAACATGCTTCTCGTAATACGCTTGATAAATGTAAGCAGCTTTAGTTACGATTTTCTTTTTTTTTTTCTCTACCTTCTTTTCCGTACTCCGCTTTCATTACGTTTTAGATAGAACGTTTAAATATATATGTATATGTATATGTGTGTATGTACCATGTGGAAATAATGAATCAGTACAAATTTCCGATTCTTAAATTCTCAAATTGTATTTTTATTTTATTTCAACGTATCTCCTATTTATCGCATTTCAATTTGCAATATCATTGTACCTTTGTTTTTGTTTTCAATTATATTCGATTAATTAATCGTTACGAATTCTTAATTAATAAAACATTTCTATGATTTAAGAAAAAGAAAAAATTCAAGCTCAAATATTTCTTTACCTTAACATATTAAAGATCAAAAATACACACACACACATTTATATATGTATATATGTATCATTCATATGATTAAAAAAGATAATGCGATTATTTGACGTGAATATAACGTGTTCGTATTTTTCTTCAGCATAACAGATCAGAGATGAAAGATACACACATACACACACACACAGACAGACAGACAGACAGACAGACGACACACACACACACAGATACACGCGTGCATATACTTTTTGATATTTACGTGAATTTTCGAAGAGACACGTCAGGCTCGTCTACAGTCTCGTTTATATGCGTGGAAGTAGAAGAGAAGAAATAAGACGTTGATTGGCCGTCACGCGAAAATCTTCTTGCATAGAAGAGAGCCACGAAAAAGAAAGAATAGATAGATAGATAGATAGATATAGAAAAAAGAAAAGGAAAGAGGAAGAAAGAGATAGAGATAGAATGCAGCTCGCACGTTTTCCTTTCCTGCATGAAACGATCTCGATCCCATCGCTATTCCGAACGGTATCAATCTCGTTTTTGTTCTCGAACGAGGAGCTATGTTAGAAAAAGAAGAAGAAGAAGAAGAAGAAAAAGAACACGTATGCATCTCCAAGAGAATCAAAGAGAGAGAGAGAGAGAGAGAGAGAGAGAAAATGTCTTGCTACTGGACCTTTCTCATAACCTTCGATTACAACGACAGACGATGTCTTTTCTTCTTTCGAGAAATTTTTGAAATTTTCCCAACGTCGAAGCAACGAAAGAACTCTCTTACAATTTTACGAAATACTTCTTCAACCATAGATAAAAATATATATATGTATATAGAGAAGAAGAAGAAGGAGAAGAAGAAGAAACGAATGTAACGCAAATGTAATTTCAAATATCAAAATCTTTTCTATTTTATGATAGAAACGTCAAGTTTTATCTCATCTTATTTATCCTAATATTATTTTTAATATTGGCTAAATGTTTAATCAAAATTCAACACCATTGTGATATGATTAATACGATCAACGTAATTATGTATTATCGATAGAGAAAACATAAAGGAAAGTAACGATTAAGTAAAGTTTCTATTCCCCATTTGCATTAAAACTCGATAAAGGGAACGTTCGTAATTATCGCTAAATAAGAAAACTAAATCTCGACCATTCTCTCTCTCTCTCTCTCTCTCTTTTTATAACGAGATATATTAAACAGCTGTGGGATAAACTTCGGTACGTTTTACGATTGCCATTCTAAAGTTTTAAGAGATTTGCGAACGCCTGTAATTGACGACAAAAAAAATCTTCCGATGACCCACTTTGGTGTTTTTTGTTTTTTTTTTTAAATTCCTCTTTTGTTTTCGTTATAAACAAATATTTTTAGTCTTTTATATTTTAACAAATATATCGCTACAAATCCTCTTTTCAAAAATGGTCTTTGTTTTTTACTACCTTTTCGAAATCAACAGCACACGGTTTTTTCCAACGGGTCTCACCCACCCCCATGGTGGTGTACTAACCGTGCTCATCGTTGCTTGACATAAGTTATTATGCGAGACGAATTTTTTTCAATACGTTTAGACCATTGACGCGTTATAACATACATATGTAAATTTCTATAATAAATGATCAATATCAACAAATAATTTATCGCTAAAAACAATAAGCAAAACGATTGATTAATAAACAACCGAAATACGAAGCCGAAAAGTATAATGATTCATAGTGTAGTGTACTTTTGGGAATCACCGTATGTATTAAATATAATTCTATACAAATGTGTAACTATATATACATATATATATATATATATATATATAGATAGATAGTATGTATATATACCTAGCTAAACACAGGAATGTATAACTATGTATTTACATATGTATATATGTATATATGTATATATATTTTGTCGATGGAGCAGTTTCGTGTAAAGTTAGAAGCGTTTAAATTTATTTGACGCGGCGGCACCAACCGAACTTTGCTCGCGGCAGAATTCGTTGAAGCTCATAAAGCACGCTTTTTAACCGTGTAGGTGTAGGTGAGGGACGTATACCACGTTTATACTATATTACTACGTAACTACGAAAATTTCATTGCGGGTCATGAGGTAAAGTGGACGGACGCCAGCGTCAGCGATATATTTCTTATAAATGTGTTTTAATTCTCCTAGCGTATCACAATTCGTGCTTTTTAGTTATGGAATAATGATTAAGATACATTTATCATCAATATTTTATCTATTTTAACAATTAACACCGCGAATAAGATTCCTGAAAATACGATAATAGCGAGTCAAAAGTATTATATGAGATAGGAAACTCATCGAAATCATTTCATTTTTAGTTATATATTTATTTTCTATTAATATATTACTATTATATTAAAATAAAACAAAATGACGTTATAAATAAATGAGCCGTTTATTTTGAAAGTGGCCTAAGTCCATTTATACTTAAATTGAGATATTTAAGGTTTTGTGTTTCAATGCAATTAAAAATATACGTACAGAATACCAATGAGTTATGCTGCTTAAGTATATCTAAAGGTGTTAAATTTACAGTTCCTATTAAAATAATGGCAATTATTAAGTGAATAATATGCCAGTATATATTATATTTAATATACTGCCAACTGTTGAATTCTTTTATGAATTCTTTGCGATAGTTAGAACTGTTTTCAAATCTTCTTCTTTTTTTTTATTTTATGACAAGTTTAAAATCAAATTATTATTCGCCAAGTACTGGTGGAATATTATTTTGGAAAACGTTTAGTTGGTTACATACTTTGATAAGAGCTTAATATTTCATTCAGCAATAATATTCGCGCGATTGAAAGTTAGAAAATGAGAAACGAACCGAGAAGATCCATAATCTTAGTCGTCGATTCGCACTAATACTCTACTCTCATTGAGTCTAAGTAGAAAGCAGAGTGATGGTAAAGGCTTTTCTACGATCTAGCGAGAGAGATAGAGAAATGGAGATACAGAATCCGTGTGCAACAGCAGCAACGACGACGAGACATGAATGTCAACTTGAGTAGTAAATAACATGACGGCTTTTACCGTAACGCTAAGAGCCCTAACTACTTTGAATAAAATGAAAGTTTCATTGGACCGTGTTGAGTTGGGCCCGGTATTACTTTCAAATGACAAATCATTCCCTAATACTTGGAAAATTTCAAATTTTCACGCGTTTACAGATGCATGCTTTAAATAATATTCCAATCAGTTTCGTTATCGTTTATTAACGAAGGAAAAACTAAATAAAATAAAACGCGAATATTACAACGAAAAATAAAAGAGGGTTGTTTGTATATAGTATCCAGTTGATTTCTAGATAAATACAATATTCTGACGTTACGTTAAAATGAATCCCCAAACGTAACATGAAATTTATTTTACTTAAACACGATTCTTTATTTCGTTATTATTATTTCAAGCAACATTGGTATAATATAACGTTACGTTGATATTTTAATTAATCAATCAAGAAAGGTAACGTTCGTGCGTTATTAGTAATCTAATTTAATTATTCAACTTTTTTATCCAATGAATAAATTTCTAGTTAACAATTTGAAATATTGGTTCATTACCATGAACCTTGATCCTACGAAAACTACGCGTTTCTCTGTTGTATATTTTATTGAATAACTTAAAAGTAATATTATTTAGATAATAAAGATTTGGATAACGACTTACCTTGGCACATTAACGTAACGATATGAAGTATGCTGAAAGTCAGGTATCGACTTTTTGGTCTGTCTGCCATTTTCCCAGTCGTTGTTACTCTTTATATCACGTGGTTCACCTGCAACAGTACGTTCGTACGTGCTCTCAGTGTTATGCAAACGTGTTCAAATGCAAATTCAAGACTCGTACACGTACTTCCGTGTACACTCCATCAAGATTCGAAACACCAAACGGAAGACTACGCGATGCTTGAATCGATAGAGTATGTAAGCGACCATTTGTCAGCAGAATGCACTATCATCCTCCCCCATATGGGTGGATTAAAGCACTATTTCGATTAAAAAAAAAAAACGAGGAAAGGAACAAACAATAATACAAGATGCAGAAGAAGAAGAAAGAAACAATCGCGGAATGAAATTTTCATTCGGATTTTTACGCGTACAATTTTTCTAGAAAAGAAGAAAAAAAAAGACAAATCTAGAGTAACCCAAATCCTATTCCGACACTTGTCCATCAAATGAATATAAAGAAAAAAAAGAAAAATATATACACTAGGGAAAAATAAATTTAATCAATTCTCGTGAATCCTTAAAGTATTATCAGTAATCTTTGATCTAATCCACACACACACACACACACACAAATCAAAAGCCGCAGAATATATTTCTATAAAAGAACGAACGTATATATATATATATATATATATAAAGCTCTTACAGAAACGTTATAAGAGCAAACGTCAAGTGGTATATCATTTCAAGATATCAAAGTTAAATACGAGTAATCACAGAGGAGGAGGAGGAGGAGTAAAATTAGTCGAATAAACTCGTTGACATCTCTGATTCTTTTTATTATTTCTAACTTTATTTCTTTCCCCCTTTCGACTCTCTCTCCACTCCCAGTCTCCTTCTCTCCCTCTTTTTATCATACTTTGAAGAGTGATATAATTAATGACGAAAAACGAATGAAACGTTGATTACAAACTATGCATACTAGCCAATGGCATTAATACATACAAACATCTTGAATTAGTTATTGAAAAAAGATTCTGTTGGATTCTGTTGATGTAAGGATTGAATTCCATGGAATTTCATGTTATAATAGAGATACCGTGAGAAATGATTAACGCATGGCCGAATCAATGTGATAGACTGACATGTTAATTAACGAAACGCTCGATATTAATCAGATTTACTGGACCGTAATGTAGCTTCGCCACTCGACAAGACGTAGTGTAGAAGCTATGCGATTGGAGACGCATACAAGTTCCTCCTGGATATTCCTCCTGTACAATCATCTACGATGGTTACCCACCCACCCACCTCTCTCCTTCTCCCTCTTTGACACCCAACCCTTCTTCCTTCCTTCTCTCTCTCTCTCTCTCTCTCTCTATCTCTCTATCTCTCTCTTTCTCTTGTATACACTGAGTAACATCACGCAGTAACATCCTCATACATTCAATATACGTATCCACGCAGGAGATTGCACGGTACACGGAGTCTGAGTCCTACATTGAATTAAACTTCAAAATGAAGTTGCCATATTTTTCTCTATTCCTTTCTCTCTTTCTTTCTCTGCTATACCCTATTTCTCTTTTTTTTTACTTTTTCATCTTTTCTCCCATTACTGCATCGAGATTTATTCTATCCGGTATACGTTCGTCGTACTTCGATGTATACGGAATCGTAAGTGAAATGTAACAAAAAGAAAGGGGAACAAAATATAGGGGGAAGGAGGAAAGAAAATGGAGTAAAAAGAGAGAGAGAGAGAGAGGGAGGGGAAAAGGAGTGGGAGAAGGAAGAGAGAGTTTCTCTGAAATATTAATCCAGCCGACGGTAACGCTGCGGAATTATTAAAAGCTGCGTATATTGTTCATGAATCTTCTCTCTCTCTCTCTCTCTTTATATATATATATATATATCTTTATCTCATTCTCTTATTCTTTTTCTCGACTTCTTCTCGAAAAAAAAAAAAAAAAGAAAAAAAAATATCATCTCTACTCTAGAGTAATGTTTATTTTAATGTAACTACGTAAATTTTAATCATTACCTGCGCAAAAGAAAAAAAAAAAAAGAAAAAGGAAAAAAGAAAGAAAGAAAAAAAAAGAAAAGAAAAATGATAATTAATATCCTCGTTTGTGTAGAATGAAATGTGTGTCGGTAGTTACGGTTCATTATTTCTTGCGAGTTACTTGTGCGCAACGAACGATAATGAAGTTAAAGCGCCCGACATTTTTGCTTTGACTATTGACTAAACATTCCACGAACGCTTAGCGTGAAATTATTAACGAGCATACGAGTTTCTCCCTTCCCACCATCCCCGGAACTAGAAGTAAATCGATAAGCGTGTTTTTTAAAAGCGAGAAACGAGAAAAGCGTGGGTGATATCGAGTAGGAAGTACAAAAAAAAAGAAAGAAAAGAAGAAAAAAAGGGTGGCGGGGGGGGGAGGGAAGGGGGCAGGAGGAAATTTACGTTCGCTTAACCTACATTTGATTCAGCTTTTAAGAGACCATGCCTCTGACGTTGTAGGTACATGCATACATGCGTACATTCCTTTTGCGTGTAAGTATGTATGCATATACGTTTGTTTCTATGTATGTATGTATGTATGTATGTATGTATGTATGTATGTATGTATATATGTGTACACTTGACGTTTCGTAAACGATCGAATTTCTGAAGTAGAAAGAACAAAAAATAAAAAGGGAGAGAAAAAGAAATCGTAGAAAGGAGAAAAGAAAATGAGATTGAAATGGAAGGAAATAAATGTTGGATGACTTTGCAAATAACCGAAGTTAATTATTTGCTTTTTTCTCCCCCTACTTCCGCTCCTTTTATTTTATTTTATTTTATTTTATTTTATTTTATTTTTTCATTTAATTAAATATATTTCTTTGACGATATTTTATTGATTGTTAATTAAAAGAACATGTTTCAACGCTGTAATAATTTTCTTTTTCTATTTTTAACATTAAAAATATGCGAATAGGAATATAATGTTTAAAACAATGTATATATGTGTTTAAACAATCTGAAACATAAGTAGAATACATTAGAGTATTGAAATAATTGTTAATTAATTGATGTGTAGTGTCTATTGTTGTCTAAAATCTCAGAGTATATGATCTATGTACCGTCCTCTTCGAAGTCTCCTCTTAGACTGAGTCATTGTCCTCAAGAAATGTACTTTTATTGAATGTTGTTTATATGACTTTCCGAAAGTTGCGCATGTGTGTAAGAAAAGGAATAATTCATCTAATCAATTAAATTTAAGATTACAATCATCTGATTTTAGCATTTTTTTTTCATTTCTATGTAATTCTTTCAATGAAGGTATATTTGTTTTAACGTTCCTATTCTGTGATGACTTAAAAGGTAAAATTTAATAACAGGTATAACTATAAGTAATAATTAAGTAATAATATTAATTAAGTATATATATATATATATATATAATACAAGAAATTAAGTTTAAATCTTTAAAAAGATTATCTCTCTTATAATTACTTCAAGATTTGATCATACGAACGAGAAGACACGGCGATTATTATACTGATCAAATTAGAATGAATTTTTTCTTTTTTATTCTTCGAACAGAAATAAAGAGTCTGACTGAGTGAGAGTTATAAAAGAGAGAGAGAGAGAGAGATGAAATGGAGATTCAAAGTTACTCGATGAAAACGACATTTGAATATAATCTCATTTTACATACGATCGCTAGCTAAATCGAACGACGTAATTGAAGAAGAGGATTTAGTTAAAATAGATCGAACAATTAATCGATCAATTATCAGAATACATTTCTATTTCTTTCACTTTTGATACAATTGATATTCATTCTTCTTTTGTTTGTTTGTTTTTTATTTTTTTTTTTAATTAGACTTATCCTTGACACAATAGAAACAAAATTTTTAATTTATTCTAAAAAAAAACAATGTTACATTATACGAATGTTACAAATCTAGAGGTAAAATAAAAGGGCATCTCGATGAATATTTTGCTAATAAGTCTCAAGAATTTTATCTATCGTTTATTGAAGTCGCATCAAAAAAACAAAAAGGAAGAAACTTATGGAACAAGCTAATATAATATAAGAATTGTACTACAAGTTTCGTAGCATCTCTAACTTTTTTTCTTTTTTTTTACCAAACCCCAACACAATACAGATTGGGTTATATAGGATTAAAATATATAGTTCGTAGAGAGAAAAAAAATATAATAAAATGAAATAAAAATAAAAAGAGTGTTTGGAGAACAAATACTCGTCCTAGTTTCGATCGAACGTACATACGAACCCGAACGATTGCGACCGAAACGATTAATCTGCCAAAAAAAAAAAAAAAAAAAAACAACAAACAAAACCCCCTATGCTAAAAATGATCACGATTTGTCAATAATTTTCTTTCGCATTTTACGCGTTCCACACTGTGTGTATATATATATTTACAAAGTAAAATGTTACCTATAACAACTAGTCTCTACGAGTAAAACTAACATACGACGACTACGACATGAAACTCTTTTAACAACGCTGATTGTTTAACGCAATCAGCGAATTGGTTTGGTGGGAGGGAGGATTGGGGGGAAAAAAAAAAATAAAAAAATAAACATAGGAAAAAAAGGGTGAAAGATAGACAGAGAGGGAGAGAGAGAGAGAAAAAAAAATAGAAGGCGGCTGGTAACGCGATCGAGAGCACAGCAAGCTTTCAGATTTACGAGGCGATTTACAAATTGGCGGTTATTGTCCCACGGCTTGGAAATCAAACTGTCCTGTAAATCAAAAGGTCTGGCAGCGTTCGTTAAACGTCAAGTTTGGCCCCAAAAATCGGCCCTGTCCCATCGATATCGTTGAAACCTCCTCTAACTCACTCTACTCTTACTTCTCATAACTCTTTCTAACTGGATCCACTGTTTTGCTCCTGCCTCGCACGATTTTGTTTATTCCACGTAACATCGTAAAATATCATGTTACATCATAAACTTGAATAACCTAAATGGTAGTATCTTCATCGAACGTTGATAGCTTTATGCTTAACTCTTGACCCAATTGTTGTTATATTACAAGTATAAAGAATAATACTAAAAAACAAAAAAAAAAAAAACGAATATAACCAAATA